AAGCTCTTAAGGAGGTAAGTATTAACAGTGACGATGAAACAGTTATATTATATTTATTAACACAATTAATATGAGTATCGCGACATAGCAGAATCGCTTGCAGAATTGAAATATCTTAACTCTCACTTCTGCAGCTATTCTGAAAAATAAACTGGTTCTTTTTCGAAATGATGGCATCAGAAAGACCATGTTTGAAACTGTCTAAGGGTGATCCCCGAATGAGAATCAGGTCATAACCGTGCTTATAAATATTAAAAAAAAAAGTTTAAAATAAAAAAATTTTATATTTAGTATGGAAGGAAATAACATCCTTTATACCGTATAGGTAATATTATACGTTGAATTTGGTAAAATCGAAAGCCTTTATTAAAATATTATAAAAAAAATATTAAATTTGTATATTTCTTAAATATGAGTATTAAATTAATTATGAAATTGACGATTAAACGTTTAAATGAACGTTGAAAATAAATATTTTGAACAATTTACACAATATTACTAGCCGGAGAAGAATTTGAGATCGACGTAATTTTGTAGCATATTAAATCGTATTTTAAATTATTTAGAATATTTGTTTCGGAAAAGTGTAAACGATATTTTTTTCTTAGCAATATTAAATATATGGGTACATAAAAAGAAATTTTTTATAAAAAATAAAACTTCAATTTCTTTATTTTAACAAATAAAATAGCACGCACTTAAATTTTCGATAAACATTTTATTGTATATACTCTCTTTTAATTTTTGTAAAATACTCAATATTATTTTCATTTATGTAAAAAAGTAATTGAATCACTCTTGGCAAAAGAAAACCAGGATTTTCCAAAATATTTGCTAATTATGTAGCTGAGAATGGCATATTTCAATAACACGCACAAATCTTAAATACTTATTGGTATTTTCATCAGCACCCAAGTTTTGCTAAATTCAAAATATAAATATGCATATAATATGTTATATACAAATTTAAGAGTTTCAAAGCTTTGTTGTATAGTTTTTTTTTAAAGAAAAATTTCCCAAGTATTTCTATAAATACGACTATATTTTAATAGAAAAGTCACAGATATTCACTTAATAATTTTATATTGCGTTTTATAATTTTTCATCACATCAATACACTGCAGAGAAGCACACGCGTACATTTCTTCACATATTATTTTAAATTTCATATATTTTAATTTAAAAAACCAATTTTTCTTCATAAGAAAAACTAATTTTCTACTTTTAAAACTGTTATATTACTTAGTAAAATTTCGACAGCGCACTTACCCATGCTGTGCGCGCGAGTCTTTGATGTCGAATGACAGTAGCTGCGCGCATGCGTTACGTTTTTATTCGCGCTTTGCCGCCCCAAGGCGTCACATACAACTGCCAAGCATGTCGATGGTAGCAATTTCTGCCGTTACCCATTGCGTTCTCACCCGCGCACGATAAGCAACAGTGAGAAATAACAGCAACAAAAAGAAATTGTAGTAATTTTAAGCCAAGCGCCCGATGGTCCGCTAATGTTATGCAGCGCGGTGCGACATTTCCGACTACGTTGAAGCAACGCGCGTATGTATGTACGTAACAGCCTACAACTTGCGTGCTTAAATACGCACAAGCGCTTATAAACAAACTCACATACATACACACAGACGTGTGAAAGAATGAAAGCACGCTTTGTCACCGAACCGCAGAAGCTCTTACGCTACCACAACGCTAACCCCGGTGATGTTGTGTGTACACCTTTTTCTGTGAATTTCTTCGCAACTTTCTTGCGGTCTTGTAGTTGTGCGCTTTTTGCTAACTTCCAGCAAGAATACGGCGCAGCGTTTGCCTAAAGCCCACATCTTGAATATGGCTGCACGCTGCCGCCGCTTATCTTATCGCTTGCGAGAATGTGCGCGCATATTTTATTGGCTTGTTTTGCTTGTTATTTCTCCGGCAACTTTCTTCATCTTTTGTTATTCAAAAAATCTAGAATTACAATTGCAAACTCGTTCTGCTCGAAATCTAAACCAGCCGCCTTTAAATGGCCAACGCACCGCTTGAAAACAAACCAGCCTCCAACGTGCGTGATCCTCGTCGCCGTTGCTCCAGTGAATGAGGCTTGCATTTTCACCTTGTCTTTTTCTTACTTTTGTCTTTGCTACAATACTTTGTCATGCAAAGAGTTCTTGGTATTTTTTGTTATCTTATTGCGGTTTCATGCGAAAGCGGGGAAGCTGGGGACTTGGTACGTTTCCGTTTCGTTCTGGATTGATAGATAAATAAATCTTCAGATTGAATAACAACCGAAGATTGCATTGCATTCCGCGTCGAATGGTCAGTAAGGCTTCGACTTATGCTCTTGTATGGGCAGTTCATTGCTCCTGGTTGACTTAGTGGGCAGGTGCTCCAGCATACTCTCTTGCATATAACGGCAGTTCTTTGTGATAATTGGGTTAATGTGAAAGTTGATATTAAATTAATAAATGTTCTCCATTTCACACGGCAGCATAAACTAAAAAACTTTGTGGCATTAAGCTTGCACTTTAGTCAGCTCATAGGAAATTACCTAATGCCTCGTTATGACATCCTCTGTAGGCTAAGCAGAAGTTCAATTCAACTCATAAACATAGATAATTACTAATCCTTAATTAAGAACCAATATTTCCAAGAATCGAAGCCATAGTAATTAGCAACTTTTTTTAATTCTCTTTCAAAATTCTTCTTATAAAATCCATCTGCACTCACTTGTTTGCCATTGCTTTCCGAGGGGTGATAACTAATTCAAGAAATTTCCTGTCGGCAATTTGGTATAAGTGAATTTAGATATAATTTTACAAATTTAATTTTATTAGGTCGCCTACTTGTTTGTCTGTATATGGGAACTGGACCCTCTTTTTGTATGGAAGACTATTTTTTTGGCACTATATCTTGAATAAGTTTTGCATGGATGCAGATCGGACCACTGTAACATATAACTGCCATTTAAACTAACCGAACAACATCAAGATGAAGATCTTCGTAAAAGACCTTTTTAGCCACAGCAAATAATACTTTTTTGTCATTACTTTTTCAAATCTTGAGTAATTTCGTGTGGTACATTTTTCAAATAACTCCATAAGAACGCTTTAGTCAAACGAAAGAACTACATGTTAACTCTTCAGGGCCAAGCAGGTTTTAGTTATACAATGGTGTTTCATGAATACCGAATCGGTTAGTAAATATAATATAATATTTATTTAATGTTTACATACCGACGTAACGGTGTATATTTGTAATTTTTTGAACGCAAATAAAAATATATTTAAGATTGCCACGAAGTTTGCAGCACCCAAAAGGAAACGTCGGAGACCCTACAAAGTATATACATATATATAATTGATCAGCGTGAGGAGCTGAGTCGATTTAGACATGTCCGTCTCTCTGTCCGTGTGTGTATATGCAAGCTAGTCTCTCAGTTGTTGAGATATCGTCCAGAAATTTTGAACAAGCCCTTTTTTCACCAAGACGCTACTCATTTGTCAGTACCGCCGATTTCACTATAACGTATAGCTATCATATAAACTGAACGAACGGAAATAAGTGCTTACTTCAAAAAGTTTGTCATTTGACGCGATATCTTCACGAAATTTGGCATCTATTATTGTCTAAGGCAATAATGCAATTTTTGAAGAAAGTGTTCAGATTGGACGACTATTGCTTATAGCTGCTATATAAACTGAACGAACAAAATCAAAATAAAAAAATCTTTCTATACTCCTTTATGCTATTAACAATGCACCTGTAAAGGCTATTACAGCTTCGGTGAAGCCGATGTTAACGTTTTTTTCTTGAATAAAATTGCGATGGATTGCGTGATATACATTTCACAGCGATTGTTATGCAACAGACAAAGAATTTTTTCCTTAGTATCATATTAACTATCTGCATAAAATGTTATTTGATATTACTGCATCTATACTTTAACATATATAATATGACAAGTTCTGATAAGAAGACAAGTAGTAATCAACTGAATTCTACTGACATATGTTTCGTTGCACTTAACTTTCTCTAAGTAGAATAGAACAGCAGAAATTAATATCGAAATAGCGTTTTGCTTTGAAAACAAATTCATGTTGTTGAAAGCATACGAAATTGCCATTTCTGATATTCGCAAAGAACATAAAAAATACAAAAAGTTCGTAACAATGATTCGTAAAAATAAAAGTTTTGTTTAATTATTTCAAGATAAGATAATTAGAGAAATCGTCTACCTACTAGGAGTTCGGCATGAAATTGTTTATAGTTCGAGCTCTTGTTTTTTCAGTTTTTTGTGGTAGTGAAAGAATTTTTGTCATTACCTACTTCTTTTTCCAAACGCCTTGAAGTGATACAAGAAGTAGTCATTCAACATTTGTCTTACTGGTGGCACTTTGCTATAGTGCTTTTTATGATTGTTTGAAAGAAAAGTTCGAAACATTTCGATACCAATTTTAATTGGTATTGATTTTTTGACACCGTGTCACAGCACTCCAAAACACAAAGGTACCAAAGGTTACACAAAACTTTCGTATACGAAAATATTCGTTAACACATCTGCCTAAATTCATCCCTTAACAAAAAAATCCTTCAAAAAGTTTTGGTTATTTTACGAATTATCTCCCCGAAAGTTTTCTCTCTCTCTCTTAATTGAGATATTACTTTGTTAGTGAGAAGAAAATTACTTATCTTTAATATTAAAGAAATTTCAATTGCCATTATCGGCTCATTCGTTTGAACTCTGCTCTTTTGTTAAAATTTCATATGTGAATGCAACAACAACATATCAGGTTGTCTTGAACACAAAATTGTATGAGAATATCTTATGCATGTGGTATGACCGCTTGCTAATCTATTTATATTTGATTATGCGAGTTGTTTGTTCGATTCTCTACTTTATAATTTTTAGGCGAATAGAATACTGCCAAAGATTAGCTAGTGTAATGAATTATAATTAGCTTACTTGCTTCACAATTATACAAGAACTGACAATATATGTTCGAGAAATGTGTAATTAGTTCGCTGCCAAAATCTTTAGTTTTAATTCATAAAATTTTATTAAAATTACTGGGAAATTTTTGATGTAGTTTTTCGCTCTTACAACAATCACAACATGTCTAATTAATTTCCAAATCTAACATCAATGTCGTAGAATGGTTCTGCAGTTGTTGTGGTTGTTGTAGTCGAAGTAGTTGGAGCCATTGTCACTAATACCGGCGCCGCTGTTGTGCTTGGTACTGGAGCGATTGTCAACTGAGTAGATGCCGGAGGCCGTGGTGTTTTCGTGGGTTGAGGAAGTGCTGGTGAGGTTGGTTGTGGAGCTGATGGCTCAGCAGGCGGTGGTGGAGGAGGGGGTCCATTGTCGTAGCCTGGTGGTCCTGTGAATATTTAAAATTTATGTCAATAATAAGATTATTTCATTAAATCAATTGCCTATCCGTTAAAGCCACAATTACTACCAAAATGTTGTGGTGTGCGTTTGAGGCGCGTCGGCGCTGCTACGTAGACGGCATTGGCGAACGAGTCTTCGGCGACAAGGTCAACATCTGAAAAAGTGCTAGAGAATTCGCCAAAAATGCATATTAAATACATGAAAATATTACAATAGCAACAACAACAACTTACGCATCTTCTATCAATGGTTTTGCATGCGCTTGCCAAACAGCCAGAGCGGTCACCACGAGCTTAAAAATAAATAAAATTAAAGTTCAAGTTCGTTGCTTAAGTCTTTCGTTTCAAAACACCACTCACGCAGCCTAAGCGCCAGCTCATTATGCGCGCTGTTAATATTTCCACTTAATTTCACTGGAAACGTCGTTTGCTTTAAATGCGTTGAGCTAAGTCAGCTATCTTTTCGCACGTCTTCACTTAAGCGCCACTGAACATCAACTAAATGAGACGAGACGCGACTTGAGAGTAATGCATCTCAGCGCTGTTAATTTTTTTTTGCCTAAATCAGAAACATTAAACTTTAGTGAGCAATTGTCCGCTTAAAATATTGTCCAGTAATGCGAAATTAAGTGTGTGTGTGTAGTGAGCTTATACACGTGTATTTATTTTGAATTTTGTACGCCACTTTGGTTAAACTGGAAATCGACAGTGACCCTCCGTGCTTCTGTATAGAAATTCGAGTTTCGGGTTTGACTTTTGAATTTTCGTCAGTTGCTGATTACCTGTTTGTCATATGTTAATGTATTTCCCGCATTTAGCGCACTAATCATTACGATTACTTTGCGTTTATTGTGTTATTTTTTTTATTTTTATTTTTTTTATTTATTTTTATTTTTCATTATTTTTATATTTTGTTTGGACTGTTAGCAAAACAGTTATTGTTAGCTTTCATAGAAGAGACGCATTAACTGCTTATTTATTTATTTCATATAAGAAATGGTTAACATATGTTTAGTAGCCAAAATACAAAACAACAACTATTTCCTATAAACAACAAACCAAAAAATGTTCACTATGTTTAGATGTTTGTATGTTTATATGTTTGTATGAATATAAGTATTTACATATGTATATATGTATGTACTTATGCGGGTATTTAAACAGTAATCGATTCATATGCTAAATACCAATAAGTGGTTTTGATAATTTTGTGGACTTTTTCACTTTACTATTTGGTGTTTTCGTTGTCTACTTCATAACGTCGCAGTGTGTGGATGAGCTAATCTCAAACTGAAATTAATACACTTTTAAATTTAAATGCTAATGCTCACATTATTCGGACAATGACGAGTGTTTGTTTCAAAACTCAGTATTTCTTTTGATGAGCAGGTACTTTGTACATAATAAACTCACAAAATTATATATGTACAATATTCGTTTTTGAACAAAAAGTGTAGTTTCCTGTTAAAAATAGTATTAAAGAAATTATTTTAAGTGAAAATAATTTTTTTTTTTTTTGCAAAATCCACTTTGTGTTTCCTTGGCTACACAAAACAATTATTATAACGAAATTTGTATTTCCAGTAGTTCGTGAAAGCAAATCTCTGCAAGCAGAACATAATATCAAATATAAAGTATTAAACTTATTAGTTAGGTTAGGTCCTAAAATAGATGTTGTACCATGAAAAAAATGAACAAAACGAGAATATTTTTGACAAAATATTTTGATTTCATTATATGAGCATATATGTAATATATGTATATATCTATTAGAGTGGCTCAAAAAAAAACGAATTTTTTTTTTCGCCTGGTAATATATGGTCTTAGACAATTTAGAGAAAGACTAACTAAGTATGAGCTTCTAATTGCAGCCGGAAGGTCCTCCGCCTTGCAGTTTTCTATTTTTTTCTTATTATCAGATAGAAAAACTCAAATCTCGCTTCGAACTGCTTGAAAATAATTTACTGCTGTGCCGAAAATGGTCTATTTTTGTTTGTTCATCCAATTATTAGACCAAATTTAAATTTCATTATTGCTCTAAGAATTTAAAATGCTTATGTAATATATCTATCATTTCTATATCCTTAAACTTTCTTTCACGAAATGCTTAGTGAATTTCTAGCTAACCTTTCTACCTAAAAAGTATTATTTTGTGTTGTGCCTGCTATACCTAAGATGGATAGTTGGAACTAGGGAGGAGTTGCACGTGGCTCATGGTGGAAACCTAATACTCAGTTCTTTAATCCAGATAATGTGTGGCAAATAATCTTTAAATGCAATGCGAGGTAGCTGCCATGCTCAAACTTCATCGAAAGATCAATTATGGCAGCTATAAGCTTAAATTACCAGTCAGTTTTTCTTTATTTCAATCCAATATTACAAACATTCACCTTAAATATTAAATTTACATTTTCACTTTCGAATATTTGCTTATTAATTCCTCATTATACAAATCGGTAACAAAATTATTGACAAAAAAAGTGATATTAAAAAATATACTAAATTTACATAAAAATTATTATTCCTTTTTTAATTTTGCATCGTAAATAAACAAAATTTTTATCTCACTTTGCATTTGTTTACTAAAACTTTGACCCTCTATACGAAAAAAAGAAAGAAGCCAAAAAAGTTTTAATTCTAACAGAGCCGTTATAAATTTAATTAGTTCACCTACTTTCAGCGCTCATAAAATGTCAATTTCCGATAGCGCCTGCCATCGAAAATGAATTAACTATCGGCTGCCGCACATTTTGAAAGCACTACAGCAACAACTACAATAAATAACAACAAAAAGCGCAAGCACCACATGCGTCCCTATTAGGGGAGATTATGTAAATAATCCAATTAAGCGTTGGCGCGCTCGCTTTTGAAGAAAGCTGAAACTCACCTAATTTTGGTTTAGAAATTATAAATAACAACAAAAATAACAATTAGGTGTCTTGCTGTAAAAGACTTCCTTTGTGCGCTGCGCGAAACCGCAACGCCTCAGCAGGTGACGCCTGTCATATAACAAGTGACAATTTAATTTTCGCAAACAACGGTTTCTTTTTTTTTGCATTTTTGCGATAATTGTTACACATATATATATATATATATATATAGGTGCAATAAATGTCTAGTGTGTTTTTTTTTTTAATTATTGCATGCATTTTCAGCAATTTCTCCTTTGCTCGGCTGCTTCAACAAAACGTACCGCCCTCATTCATTTGTATGTATGTATATGCGTCTATGTATGTATGTTTATATATATATGTATATACAATTGTCTGAATGTATGTTTGCACGTATAGCTCTGAGTGTATGTTACACACATATGTATTATAGGAGGGGAATCTCCTCAGCTCACTTGTCATTTACGGCCTTGCCTGGTGGCTCTTTGTCTATGCCTGCCAATTTGTGTGGTATGAATCACACACAACTGTTTTATGTGACAAACGCATTCGCTTCTTGGCAGCCAGACGTTTATTATGTCTTTATAGTTACTGCCAGTTTATTGTTTTTATTTGTTGTCGAAGGCACGCACGCATACCCGCATGCTTGCTAAGCCAGCTTCACTTCGCTGTCAGTTGTTACAAGCCACTTGAGCTTTCATTGCATTGGCTATGAGTAACATTGATCTTGAATTCAATATTCGCACTCATGCACACATGCATATTTAGCTGCATGTAAATGTCATCATTAAGTATGTTCATGTGTGTGTGTATGCGAAAGATGTCTGCATACAAATGCACTTAGATACGATTTGCATAATAAAAGCAATTACTTCGAAAGTACTTTGACTGACATTCACGATGAATATTCGCTTTAAGCTTATCACTTGCTTTGTGTGCGCTTCCGCCTGCTTTATGTGGCTTACAAATGCTCGGCGACGTTCGCAGTGACACATACAAATGTTTATGCGCGCTTAAAGAAATACCTAATAGGAATATCAATCAACTAAAATCAATTGTTGAATAATATTTGGATTATAAACAATTAAAAATTGTTTATACACACACACATACATGTTGCTCAGACTATATCATTTAATTCAACTAACAGATATATGGGTTTTGCTCTTTGCATCTGTAACCGCGAACTTGCACAAAAATGTTGATGAAACTTGCTACGCAGTCGAAATCCGATAAACCTAAACTGCAAAACTGACATTTGGCATAGAAGTTACCCAAAAGGAGCTTATACAAGTTCATTCTTTAAAAGTGAGCCAAGCAACGTCCACTTAATCGTGGAGTACACGTATCTCTTAAGCTATGTGACCTATTGCAGAAAATATTGGTGATTTCATTAGTTCACTAATTTATAGCTAAATTTCACAAATTATTAATTACTATAACAATTTGAACCAATTTTGATGATGCTTTGACGCCCGTTACAACAAATTTCAAATGTGTCAAATCGGGTTCCAACCACGATGAGTTCATACTTTTCTTAAGTCTTTTATATCCAATTCCATAAATACCAGACCGAATAATAATTTCGAGCAGAGTACACTTCCAGAATTGAATATATATATATTTTTTTTGTTTAGTTAGACTTAATCCGTACATTGGTGGCGAGAAATTGTGGAAAAACGACCCCAATTGAAAAAGAAGCATATGCCGTTTCATCTGGGCATTTCACACAAATCCATGAACGCGATAACAAAATAGCTTTGAATTGCTTCCACAATCAGCGTTTTTGCCAGATCTGTTCTCAGACTTCAAGAGAATTACAAATACAATTTGCAGCAAATGAAAATGGTTTCGAAAATGTGTAATATCTTTACAAACGTGAAATATGTTGAGAAATGAATTCGAGTTTGGCCAAAAACATATATTTTTCATTGAAGCTATTCTAATTCTGATTCTGATATATGTGAAACCATATATATATAATATCTAATCTGATATAGATATAAATCCATATTTTACGATAATGTTATGATGAATACACATATTTACGGTCTTACGGTTAATTTAGGTATAAGTTATGAGGTAGGTAATGATATATTAGAAAAGATATCTTAGTGAAATTTTGTCTTCTGTAGTTATATGAAAATATTTTGTGAGCCTTTCTTACTTAGATCGTGATCTTTTTTCAACAAATCCAGGTTAATATCATAATTCAATTGCGTTTTACATTTTAAAACAAAACAAAACACAAACAAATTGTAATCATCGAAAATTTATTGTTTTCAAAGTATTTTTCATTAAGATATATGGTATACACGTTTGAACCAACTGTTGTAGCACGTTTGCCACTCTAATTGACTGATCTCCAAAACATGCGTTCTGAACGTAACAACCGTCTAAGATATCGAAAAACGTTGCCCATTGAATTTATTTTTTACGTACGATTGTTGCTTCCACTAATGCCTATAGTTGTCTCAATCTCACAATAGGTAACATGACAATCTTGCAATATCTATTTGCTCACAGCCTAAATAGTTTTCAGAACAACAACTGATTCTGGACGACTTTCACGAAATTCGCTTTGGAATGAGCTACGACCTCGAATAAGTTCATTATACCCTCGTATAACACTGGTCCTTGATGGAGCTTCATCGCCACAAATTTAATTAAGTACACCCACGTCGAAAGTTGTAAGAAATAATCGCGTGTTAATTCCATTTTTTTGCCGAGATGAATAGTTTAAGTTACTGTAAACAACACAAAAAGCGCTCGTATGTGCAAACATTCTGAGTATGTATAACCTTAAAAACGCCAAACTTTACAATAAAGTTGTGAGTTGCGCGATTGCAATACTAGGCAACGTATTATAAGCCTATATTTCCATTATATTGTACAATTTTACTTTACTACCATTTACTTTTTTTTTTAAGCCAATCGATCTATTAGTTTTCGCTGGTTGTG